AGGACTTCCAGACAATTCCACTATTTTCCCACTAAAGGATTTAGATCAAGAGGTAGACAAGAAAGAGAAAGAGCACCTTATTTTTTCTGGCAAGAAACTGGACCCAGTGCCTCAGTGTGAAACAGCTGATTCCCCTCTCTCATCTCTGCTTCCTGGTAGCTCCAAAAGCTATGTCATCAGTAGTGAATCCAGCCCAATTAAACATCCTGCTCTCCTCTCTGCCTCCTTCCCACAGTCCTGATGCATGGCATCCAGACCCAAGGATAGTGTCAAACATTCTAAAATTCTTTCTACCAAGTAACCTAGAAGCTCCTGAGGTCAGCAGAGTTTCCTAAATGATCAGAGCTGGTTGTGAGAGAAAGTGAAAGTATTTGCCTATGAAGAAATTTTCCACAAGTGAACCATAGACTCCCATATTCTGCTTTTGGCCAGAGTCAGATTTCCCCAGAGTTGGTCAGATATTCCCCTGGTGGCCTCAGAAACAAACCAAAAATTCTTCTATCTCCTATCTCCCTCCATCAACCATTCTTTCTCTTCACCTTCTCAGTCATCTTCTTGACTAAGTTGATTGTACATAAGGTCACCACTTCCTCACCTCTCATTCAATCTTCCACCTGTGGCGAGTGGACTTCTCTCCGCCTCTGTAATGAAAGTGCCCTCGCCAGTCAATGAGGGCCTCTTCATTGCTACAGCCAAGAGACACTTCTTTTTCTTATGTCACCTGAGTTCTAGGTTGTTATGGGCACTGTCCACAACACCCTAATTGTTGAAACATGCTTCCCCCAAACACCTCTACTTTCCTTTCACCTTTGCTGACTCCTACTCCTGAAGTGTTGTCTGCTCTTCTCACTCTGCATTCTCTCCAAGGATTAAACTAAACACTCCCCTGACATCCACCCATGGCCTCTCCAGGTGTTGAGTCCTGATTCACTACCTGCAGCTCAGACATCCCTCTTGACCTTTATTTAGTCCATATTCCCAGCTGCTTGTGGGACATCTCCCCTTTGCTAGGTCAAGGCGCTCACAGTCACTATGTTCAAGCTGACACCAGAATCTTTCCCACCACAACTAGTTATGCCCCACAGATATGCTAGCCCTGTCTACTGGCTGCCCAAACCAGAACCCTGAGGGGAATCCTTGACTCTTTTCTCTTTTATTCTCTATAACCAATTAGTCCTCAAGTCCTGTAATTCTGTCTCCTAAATCTCTCTCAAATTCATCTTGCTCCATACCCACCACCTCTTCGCTAAGTGGATTTTGCTCTGTCCGTCTTGCCTTTCTTCAGTCCATTCTTCAGAATGGAACAAGTGTGGTCTTTGTTTTCAGTGGCTCCTCATTACACTTGGGATAAAGTCCTAACTCCTGAACTGGGCTGATGAGCCCTTACATGATTTGGTCAATTCTTACTCTCTGCCTCTCACTGTGTTCATTAGCCACCCTGAATGCTCCTGCGTGTGCCTTCCTCTGATATTTCACATATGTTATTTTTCTCTTCTCTCTAGTGCATTGTCTCAGACTTATCCTTAGAATCTAACTCAAAATACTTCTACTCAAGCCTTTCCTGAGGCCCAAGGATAGATAAAAATGTCCTACCTACAAAACCCCAAAGCACCCAGCCCTTATTGCTATTATAACATTTATATCATTGTAGTGGGGGATACAAACAGTAAAGAGTGTGGGTTCTTAAGGAAAAGAGAGCATCAAAAAAAAGTCCTTGCTTGCTCTTTACTGCCTGGACACCTGGCATTAATGCCCTGCACACACCAAGATGTTCATTATATGTCTGTTCAATGAATGAATGAATGAGTGAATTAACAAAGAACTCAACAAGTCTCAGAATCTATGTTCTGTTCCTATTTCCACTTGGCTATTTTTATGCTTATGTGCCTCTGACATCTTTAGTGAGTACTTAAATCGTGCTAAGTGTTTCTCTCATTTCATTTGACCCTCACAACCTTCTGTAAGCCTGGGATTAGCCACATACCATATTTCATGCTCAGGTGAAAAATGATTTGCTCAAGGTAAGAGAGCCAGGATATCTTGGTTAGAGTTTTAGCCCTCAGTTCAGGACCCTTTCCCTCTTGACTTGGTGTCAATCAAACATCAGTATGCTTTGATTCTACCCAACTCTTATCTTCCATTCAATTCTGTCCTGGTGACTACTTCCATTGGCCAGAATTCCTTTTCAAATTTAAGGAGATCTTAGAGTATGGAAGAGATATAAGCAGTGAGTGAATTTGGGGAAAGCTCACCCAGAAATCCTATTCCAAAAATGGGTTCAGTGGTTGTTTAGGAGAGTAGCGATTTGGTATCAAAGAAAGTCAAGGGCTTAGGAAACAGGAGTTTATAAACTTGTGTTACCCATTTGAGTGGAAATGGATTTATTAATCTGAAAAAGTCATTGACGCTGAGCATAGTATTTTGTGCTTTTGCCTGCATGATGGGTTATGAGTGATCCCCCAAAGGGAAGGAGCATGGAATGGGTATTAACTCTGGGACAAAAACTGGTTTTGTCTCCTCCAAATCCTATAAAATAAGTGCTTTGGCTGCAAGAGGAAAATTGTGGCTGAGAAGTCACCAAGATCACACAGTAAGTGGCTGAGCTAGATTAAAAAATCAGAGTTAATGGCTCCCAGGTGCTCTGTATTGTGTGGCAAGCAGTGAATTCTGTAGTCACACTGCCTGTGTTCAAATTTGGTTCTATGACTTTACTAGGATGTGTGACTTTGGAGAGCCACTTAATCTTTCTGGGCCTCAGTGTTTTTGTCTCTTAAATGTGGATGGTACTACTTAGAGAGTTGTGATGAGGATTAAATAAGGTAATATCTAGAAAGCATATTCCTATACCTATTATCATCATTAGCATAATTGCCACCACCACCTTTGATTGCTCTTCTTGCTAATATGGCAGATTCTTCTGGTTCATGAGATGAATGGGTACTCAAACCATTCCTCTTGAAGACTTTAGCACTCTTAAGAATTTAACAGTTGGTCAAAGATGTTGGGTGCATAACTCAGAACACATGCCCGGAAGGGTTGAAACTATAGTTGCAAAGCAACAAAGTAGACCACACTTGTATGATGGACAAATAACTCAGCTAGTTAGTTGGGAATGCTGCCAGAGGAGTTGTCCTATAAACATGGCTAATGTCTTCAAGGGGAGACAGTAGCTTACCTAGGCATTTTTGGGCAGGTTCTTCTTAGGAGCTGTCCGAAATATATTTTAATTGACTTGAGATTTATAGTAATGTTAAAAATACACATCATGTAATAATTAATGTTTTGTGAGTTCTTACTAAAGTCTGGAACTGCTACCACTTTATCTTATTTAATTTTCACAACAATCCTAATATAGTGAACATTTTTATTATTTCTATTTTATAGATGAGACAACTAGGCTCACGAATGTTGAGTATGATCAGGGTTGTCCAATAGGTCAGGAAAAGAGCTGGTACTTGAATCCCAGTCAGGCTGCCTCCAGGGTCCATGATTTTTCTTAAACACTTCAGGTATTTCTTCTCATACCCTAACGCTGGGGCTTCTTAGCAATATCTATAAGTGCCTGACTTTGTGAATGACCCCAAGACTCAGCCTTCACTCACGTAGACCCTTAGGCAGATTCTCCAAAGCAGAAAAGAGAAGAGCAGTCTCAGATGGAGAGGTGCTACTGAGGGTTGAATTCAGGCTAAGATCTTCATTTTTCCATGGACAACCTCTTCCCACTTGAAACCAGGAGAGCTGGCTCACCAGGTCCTTGCAAGTAAGCCAGGCCAGACTCCTCCTCCTACTGCTTCATTACTGTCATTTTCTAATGAGAAATACATTCGATAATAGCAACTGGAATTTATTTTAGGCCTTTGTTCCAAGAACTAATTAATGTTTCTACTTTGACTTGAACTAATATATATATATATTTGAATTGAATTGAAGGCTACAGTGTTGTGTTCTGGGCTAAGATGTCTCAGCATAATATTTACTGAAAATCTTTCCTCCCTCCTTCCTTCCTTTTGTGTGTGTGTGTGTGTGTGTGTGTGTGTGTGTGTGTGGTTTTTTAGCATTCTTCTCTTTAGGCCTTTCAGCATCTCACCAACATGGTCAAAAGGACTCTTCACACTGATTTGAACTTATGGAGGATAGAACATAGCTTACTCTTAAGCACTTAATTAGTTTTCCAGTTGCTGATTTCTTAAGAGGGGGAGTTTTTAACCATCTTATTTTTTCAAAGCAGAACTTGAAAAACAAGATTTGAGGAAGGATTTTTCTTAACAGTTTCTTGTTCAAAAGGCACTCTAAAAGGTTTTTTTTGTTTTGTTTTGTTTTGTTTGTTACTAAAGAGAGCAAGACAAAGTTTTGGGTTTTCCAGGGCATATAGTCACTACACATATTGGTCAGGAGGAAAATTGTGGCTGGGTTTCTTACCCAACAGCTATGTCTGTGTATTTATTGTTGTTGTTGTGAGGTGACTGGGGTGCAGGGGGAAAGGAAATGTTAGTTTCAACTCTTACAAAAGACAAATTTTCTATTATTAGAATTCACAAGTGGTTGTTCTTTCCGCTAGAATTCATGTGTAATGTAAGTGGAGGTAATCTTTGACGTAAAGTCTTCTATGAATAGTTTAAATCAAGAACTGCCAGACACAGTTAAGAGTGTCTAACGTCTGGGTACTACTTTTGAAATCTGGACACATTGTTTCCCTCTAATCATTCCTTCCCTTTTCCTCCTTTTGCTTTGCTATTGTTTTATCGGGTGCTTACCCTTCTCAGACAATTTTCTGAGCAATTTACATACATTTTCTCATTTAATTTTCACACAAGCTTATGAGAGAAGTATGATTTTATCTCCAATTGACAAAGAGGGAAATCAAGTTTAAGCAACTTGCCCGAGATCAGGAAGAGGGAAAGGTAGAGAACTTAACCCTAGGTCTCTGGTTCTAGACCTTGACCTTTCAACCACCATAGTGTTCTGCTTCCTCACTAAACATTTCTATTCTTTGTCCCCAGGGATAGGATGAGAACTTCAGTCAATGTTGTGGGTGACTCTTTTGGGGCTGGAATTGTCTATCACCTCTCCAAGTCCGAGTTGGATACCATTGACTCTCAGCACCGAGTGCATGAAGATATTGAAATGACCAAGACTCAGTCCATGTATGATGACATGAAGAACCATAGGGAAAGCAACTCTAGTCAATGTGTCTATGCTGCACACAACTCTGTCATAGTAGATGAGTGCAAGGTACCTTTCCCATTCATGGATATTGAGACGTGTATATAATAGTGCATGATTGATTTTTTTTAAATGAACACTAAAGCCCTGCATGCAGTATTGTCACATTTGTCTTTCTAATGAATCATGTAATCCAAGCGTCTACGGGTCCAAGATCATCTAACTTTGTGTCTAACAAGGCTAGAAATCAACAGATCTAACAGTGAAAGAGCCAATCAGTTGCTTCTTTCATCCATATGATGTAAAACAGTCACTCTTGTTCCCCAATCCACCCACTCCACAGATCTTATTGGTTTTCTTGAATATTTTCCCCAAGGATTACAGTCTCTAGGGTTTTGCTGGCTTTCATATTTTCTATTCCTCTAGTGAAGTAACAAGAGAAATACCCAGAATCATTTGATTGTTTAGCACAAGTATTCCTCCTTGCTGTGTATCATGTATAGGTCAAAAATGTGCTCACATAACTGTGCAGCTATCTTTGTCTTCATTATTTTTGTGGGGATATGAGTCTTGACCTGGCAGTTACTTTGCTCCAAATCTGAGGAAAATGTCAAGTAAAAGATAACTATTCTTCAAGACAATCATGCATAGATGTCTTCTAAAAAACACTGCATTTCACACTGCCTGACAGCCCCATCTTTCCTTTGAACTCTTCCAAGCTGTTGGGTGCTAAGCCTTCAAGCTTGATAGGCTCTTTCCAGCCTTCACTGTAACTAAATTGACATTGTCAAAGACAGCATGTCATGACCAGAGTGAAGCAAACTTGGTGAAACCCTGGCAGGTGAGCAGAGTCAACCCTGGGGGCTGGGTTGCTAAAATGGTTCCAGGCAGTATCTGAGGACAATTTGAATCCAATGCAGATTTTTGATACCTTTTTGACTCCTGTTGACAAGATCTCATTTAAGATTTTATTTATTTTTTTAGAGAGAGGGGAAGGGAAGGAGAAACAGAGGGAGGGAAACATCAACATGTTAGAGATACATTGATTGGTTGCCTCTCACACACCCCCAACTGGGGACCTGGCCCACAGCCCTGGCATATGCCCTGACTGGGAATTAAACCAGCAATGTTTTGGTTCACAGGCTGGCGCTCAATCCACTGCCCTACACCAGCCAGGGCAACAAGATTTCATTTAATAGTTTATTTCTTTCTGTATTCCTTCTGGGTCATTCTAAATATACACAATGGCTTCTGCTAGGCAACTAAGGTTGACACAGAAGCAATTCTTTCTGCTGGACTGCAACTTAGGTCAAGTCTAGTGGGCCAATCACCATCTTTTGCTCATCCATCTATATCGGATGCATGTGTGGATGAACCAGGGCTCTGATATAAGTTAGGGAGAGACCCCCCTCCCCCACCCATCAAGAGACAATTGCATAAACTAATTGACTCAGTGAAAAATGATTTAAATTATTAGAAATTCAGATGTATCCAAAGAGTATACTCCATTCTTTTAGAAAGGCAGTATTTTTCACATTTAAATAAATGCGCTGGATTATTTCCCATTAAAATGTTAGTTTGGGTCAACAAGAGTCAACATTTCCAAGGAATGACTTTTTGCTCTATTATATTTACTAAGTATTTATCATGTGCCTTGTGAGCTTTAGTTGAGCACCCCATGATCTGGGGCCTGTAAGCTGGTTGTTAATGATAAGTATTTAGTTTCCTATGACCACCTATATTTTGATCATTCACCAAGCATTTATTGAATGGTCATTATTGGCACAGCCCTGACTTAAGCATGGGAAAACAGGAAAATGAAAGTACGGTTTTGTGGTGGTGATAAGGCTAGATCCCAAATTACTGCCATACAAGGAAGCAAAGTATTATGAAACAAAATGAAAACACATACATTTTTTAAATTTTGCAGTTATACAGAAGAACAATCCTAGTGGTTAATTGTCTCTGGTGTGACCCTTCTGAAGCATCTCAAAAGGCTTAGCAATGTTGTATAAGACACATTTTGAAGAAGAAGATGTATAAGCATGAAGATATCTTTAGATTTCAGACCTCCTGGATTTTTTTCCCCCTCAAAGGACATTAAGTACAACAGGAGAAATCTGCTTTATTTTTTAAGCAAAACAATTCAAGTTCTAAAAGGAGATGTTTGTCAATTGTCTCTTTCAGTAGGAAGTAAGCCCACAAAGAGAGGGACTGTGTCCCCTTTGTCACTGCTGTGTCCTAGCACCTGCAGCAGAATCTCTCATACAGCAAGCACTCCAAAAATATTTGTTGGGTGTATCCTTTTAGCATCTTGACCCTATTCTTTAATTCAGGTCACCTTTTTTGCTGGACAGTTCCATAGAGACAGTGGCTCAGTGTCTCTCCATAATTGACTACCCAGCCAACCGCTTGCAAACTTCTTAGTGAATTAGCATTTAGATGGTCAAATGGTAGGTCATGGAAAGGATGAAATGGCCATGTTGCTTTCATAACTATTTCGGCTGCTTGCATTCTTTTAGGGAAGTGACTGGGTTCAGCTCAGTGAAGGTCCCCAGCCTTTGCTAGGTGAGGCAAATTGACTCTTCTCACTCTAGACCAACTGAATTGACGCTAATGTGAGGAGGCAGCCAGATCTATGGAGATGAATTTTCACACTTTCCCAGAAGAGCTGAATCACATGCACTCATGCCTTTGAATTTCATTCTGGTCCATTCTTAGTCTCACTGTTTTGAAAACGGAGATGGGAGACATCGATGCTTACGGGTAGTTCCCTCCCCGTTTTTGTTTTTCTATTAGCCAGGTAGTTGGAGCAGGAAGGGTGGAATAGATCAGGGAGTGGAGTCCCCAGTTGCTTTAGCCAAGCCAGAAAAGGAAATGCCAAAAAAATCTGCTCTCCCAGCTACTTTTGAAACACAGGGCCCAGCATTTAAAAAAAAAAACAAAAATAAAATGAAAAAACACGGACAACTCTGTCCCCAAAGTGCTGTCTGGTTTTGGAAAGGCACCACGCTGTGATTTATGGTTTTGCACAGCTATGGATCTGGTTCATCACCGAAAGCCAAATAGGCACATTTAAGGTCAGAGTGAACAGGCAGCTTTCTCCATGCAGTTTGTTTCTTTCTGGAAGTCTCTCCTGACAGTTCACTGAAAGGGAAACAAATTTGCTGCAGCTCTGGTCAAAACTTTAACCACTCGGAGCATTGTTGTCAGTTGCTCTGTTCTCACATTCTTGCCTTGTGATAGTAGTTTGAAAGTTACGCAATAACTTTTTTATTTTAATCATAGTAACTGCATGTGAGGTGGTCCTTGCTTGTTGCATGATCTTTCCAAAAATAAGTGGGAGGAGGTTGTTAATGGGGATTGAAGGAATGGCTGGTTTTTATTTTCCTTTGCTTGGTTCATGAGGGGCACTTGATTTTCTGTTCCCAGCATGCTGTATGTGTTCATAATGCATGCGTTTCACTTCCACTTGGGTGAGAAGGTCAGATTTCTTTCAAACATTGCTGCATTTGTCATGTCTCCATATTCTAATGCTCCCATAAATCCAGTCTCTCCATTATGTGGAATATCAGTCGTGGGTTTAAGTTTGCACATGACCTTGAGGACAGACAGATGGAAGGTAAGCTAGGAACAATGTAGAAGTGGAGGGGAAAACCTCCCATTCCATGCAAGGTTCAGTTTGCTTAGAGCCGGTAAAGCATCGTATGAACAACCTGGTGATCATATTTGATTACTAAATGTCTGCATTGAAGTAATTTATAGATCCATGTCCCTTATCTCAGGCCTCACTCCCCACTTTCTGTTGTTAATTTTTAAAGCCTGCAGAGCGTATCTGTGATCCAGACCATCATGCTTTCTTATTTTAAAATTGGACATGTATAAAAGTCACCTGGCCTCCTTGCAACTGAACCTTTCATATGCATGAGTAAAACTAGCTGCTTAGTTCTGGATGTCTTTTCTCTGTGGTTGTATGGAGTAGCACACAGGCACTATTGTCTAAAGACTGCATTATTGTGCAATGGGTCTACAGGTAGTTAGACACCCCCACAACACTAAAAGCATATCAAAAGTTATCCTCTCAAATCTCCAAGTGTCTCCATTCCCTCAATATCAACACCCCCCTCAGGCAAATAACTTTTCTTTAACTTCCACAAATCAGTCTTGAGAACCAAGACCAGCTCAAAATCCATTTGTGAGGAACCACATTTAATGCTGATACTGGGAGTCGTGTAGTCTAACCTGGATCTTGTGCTCCTCCACATGACCCACGGGGTGCTTTTCTGGTTTGTGGCCTGTAAGCTGGATGTTGATGATAATTATTTTCAGGTTACTCTGGCAGCCAATGGAAAGTCAGCAGACGGCAGTGTTGAGGAAGAACCCTGGAAACATGAAAAATAAGAACGTGACTGTCAGCAAGTTCTGAATAAAATCCCCAGCGTATCTTATGGTAAAAGAGGATATAAACAAGTTTTCTTTCAAAAGGAAAAAAATACATATATTTCTATGTTTACTTAATCTGTTAGCTGAGGCTTAGAGGATCTGTTGTGAGTCAGTGATAGGCATGGTGCTGTGTCTTTGCCAAATAATGCTTTGTAACCGTCTAATGTTCTCACTTGTATTATTGTCGGAATGGATGCTGCTGGAGGAATCGGTTTGAATTGAAGACGCATTCTTGCCAGCTTCCCTTTTCTCTCGAGATGCAAAACTGTGGATGCTCTTTTCCCAGGGGACACAACTAGAGCATAACACTCCAGGGACTTGGGATGATGAGCAGACACTCAGTGTGTTATTTCTTTGAGTGTTTTCCATGCTTCACCTTGTTACCCACAAGAGATTCTGTTAGAAGCCTCTAGAAGTAGTTCTCTTTCAGTGTCTTGTAGAGTTTGCCAATGTGTTGATAAAAGCAAGTACATGTCTTAGGGAACTGTGACAATTTATCTTCTGTGTGCTCTTTGAGCTAAATATTTCAGAGAGTTGTAGTGGGAGCCATAGTCTTAAAGACAGCTGGTTATGGAACCCACTGAGCCTCTGCTCTGTCCTACCTAGTCTGTGGACTTTTCTTGCTGAAGCTTTAGAATATGTTACATAATTTGCTCTAACTGTGATAATGGAATAGAATGTAATTTGCATAGAACCACTGTATATATTGACAAAAGTAAAGGAGCACACAGTCAACATAAATTTTAACCAGGTTCAAATTTTCAAATGCATTTATCTTTGGTTTGCATTCATCTGTCATAGTGAAATCAAGAGAGGTTATTTTGTTTTCTGCTCCACTTTGTTTCACTCATAAAATTCTTGCTTGGGTTTCTAATGAAAAGACATTTTTTATCCTCAAATTATTTCTATCACATTCTCAGTAAACCAGAAGGCGTAACCATTTCACTCTCGTTATACGTGGGGGACAGTTGTGTTGACTTTGCCTCTTTTAACACTGTCTCTTGCTAAAAACAGAAGACTGTCGTTTATCTAATATGTATTGTAGAAAGCTTTTTGTTATGTTGTATCAATGCACATAAAACCAATAACAGGACACAGTTGGAAGCAGAGTCCATCTTCCTCCCCAGTCTCCTCTGTGGAAAGGAACAGAAAACAAACGTGTGCAAAATCCTAAAAAGGTGACATTCCTATGGCAAAGTCAAGGCAGCCTTGAACCATGAAGTGGGGACAAAGGATGGCTCTACACAACTTCACAGATGGAACCCTATCAAGGCTGTAAAAATTTTGGGGAATAAATAATATAATTGGAGTAGCACCGTGCCTTGCATGCTGTAGACACCCAACGTATCCTGAATGATTGTGTAAGTTAAATTGTTCAATGTCTCTACTATCATTTTCTGTTGAATAACCCACAGTATTTTTCTAAGGTTTCTGGCTTTGGGAGTTTGCTGAGGACTTGAATGTGAATCATTGAGAAATAAATCACATTTGACCCTGAGGCCTGTGTATAACCTAGGTCCACACATGGCAGTCAGGTAGTCATCTGAGGCCAGCAGCTGGATGCTGAGATATTCAGAAATAGTAACAGAATCTAAATTCTCTAAAGCAAGACTATTTATGGACATCACATACCCTTTGTTACCTACTCCTTGTGACTTTTCTCTTCCAAATCAGACACCTTTGGATATACAAAAGATATGAGACTTCAGGTTTTATTGTTGTTTTTGTCTCTTAAACCCTAGTTATTTTGGGTAAGGATCACTACAGCACAGTATTAAGCAGATTTTTGCTTTTAAAAAATGGCATTGGTCTTTATTTTCATTAGATGGACAGTTAACAGGGTGGTCAAGGATGTGCTGAAATGTAGTTGTGGAAAATGTATCCTTTGCAGCAGATGCTGGGGGTCAAGGGGACAGTGCCTGGATTCAGCTGTGAAACTATTAAGGATTGTCTGTAAGTGGCACTCTCAAGAGCTTTTCTGTGATGAGGAGAAGGAGCTACGCAAGGCAGCTAGGAGCTTGTGGGTTTTGCTGTGTAAGGCCAGCTTTGTGCATATGTACACGCTTGAAGGGGTGGTCTAAAGATTGTCTTCCCAACACTCTGCCTAAATGACTTCTCTGTTTGTTTTGTTCTCAGCTTTGTTCTACTCATCCAGTTAGCTTATAAATATATAAGGGGACAATGTGTTCAGAAGAAACAATGTGCACAGTTTAACAAAGCAGGTATTTCTGGTTTGAGATTATATACAATAAATTCCATGAGAATATACTTAAGAGATTACATTTAATCTGGATTCAACAAATTGTATTAAAAATGAACACTGTCTCAAATTCAGGACAAGCCTGATAATCCAGGATGCATTATATAGAGCTGATATATTTTGATTTTTTTTGGCCTCATTAATTTTTCTTATGCTGTGTCCATTGGGGTTTTCCTTGCCCCATATATATGCCATAAACAGAGCACATAGAGCCAGGGTATACTTCTAACAACTTTTTCCAAATAGGATGTGTGTGATCTGCCAGTAATATATCTATATTTATATTAATAGCTCCAACACAGATATAAATGCTTATAATCATCCATTAATATTTGATGATGCATAAATGTTATATTTATTTACAGATATGGCAAGCCAGATACATACACTGCTTTCTGTAAAGTCTGTAAGTTGGCTTTGGAAACACCATTTTGTCGTAGACTCATTCACTCTTTTTAGGAATCAGAATTGTTTCAGAAGAAAACCAGCTAAGCAGACATTAATCCTTCCCTATCTCATTTTTGCCCATGGGGAAACCCAAGGGGAATTATCATTAGATTACCTACTAACAACTCTATGAATCAAATCCAGTGACTTATCTCTCCAGGCAAGGCTTTATCTGAGGTCTTTGAGGATGTGCTTCCCCTGCAAAGGTCACCAGAGATCACACAGATCCTTAATACAGGACTTCAGGCGATGGTATCCAAATCAAGTAGCTATCAGATTCAACTCCTTACTTGCCATTGGTGTAGAAACACCGCCCACAGTCTCATTTCCTGCGGAAGTTAACCATGTTTTGTAAAAGACACATATTTACTTCTCTTTTCCAACTACCAGTTAGCCTGGATGTTTATGGAAACCTAAAGCAAGGATACCAAGATACCTGTGCCTGAATTTAGGCTGGAAGCTGAGAAAGGCTTAGGGGAAATTTAATCTTTGGGCAGGTGTATTCCTGGTGGACAATGCCAGGAATCCCATAACTGAATGATTCCGGGGTCAAGTCGTTTCTACTCATGCATTGAGAAGTATGTCATTTTCCTGTGTGTTGAAAGTCAAGAAGCACTTCCAGAGTTGGGTAATCCATCTACTGGGTCCCCAAAAGGAAACCAAACCCTGGTGTGTTTTTGTAAATACTGTACTTCCCTCTGTTCTCAACAGAAAGTTAGGGTACAATATTTCGCTCTTGTCAGAGTCAGAGCTTCTGCCTGCACTGTATTTTCCCAGGAACATAGCAGTAAACCCAAATAGGTACGCACAAGCTCAGAGAGAATTTTCACAGTTCTGACTGTTGCTGAACAAGCCTCAGCAGCTCCTGCCTGGTTTGATGAGTAATAGTGCCCAGCAGTTACACCCAGTGGAGGTAACTTTTCCTACATCACTGCTGTCAAAATCCTGTGGCCAGGCACTTGCCTGGGTTTCTGCTTTTGCTTTGCTTATTCTCCCAATGACCCCATCCCAAGCTGAGAAAAAGGACAAAATAGGAATTTTCAGTTAGTGTAATACTAGCTCTTTGATTAAGTAGTAGGGCCTGGGAGCCTAGGAAGATTAAGTTCAAGCTAAGAGCCTGAAGTCATTCTTAAGTGAGAGTTTTGTAATTCCAGTTGTCAGAGGAGATTAGTGGCCTCTGTATCTGTGGTAATTTCTGGCTAAAACCTAGAAGAAAGGCTGCTGAGTGCCATCCGGAGTGGGCGGCACTATAGGCAGACGGCTCTCCTTGAGAGGAGTAAGTTCAAAGTTGCCTATGATTTTCCCAAAAGAAAAGCCCATTTTCTCACTCTGTCACCTCCTTTCTTCTTATTCCACATAGCATTGTTGCTGCTGAAGGAGCAGTTTCATAAATGACCACATGAGTGGATGCAAGAGTTGGTTTAAGAATAGATGACAGGGGATCTTAATTGAATACTATCTGATTTTATAACACGACCCAGCCAATTTGGGTAACGACATAGAGATGGTGAGAAACAACACAGCTGGGTAGAGGAAACACTTGGCTTAGACTCTGGCAGTTGTCAGCTGTGTAACTTATGCAAGTCACTTTATGCCCCAGTCTCATTCCTTCCCATAGACAAAGGGAAGGGGTTGGATTAAATGATTAAAACCAGCTTCCAGCCCTAAGAATCCATGATGTTATGATCTCTGCTTTAATTTCTTTTTTCCTAAGGGGCTTATTACTATAAAATATTACTTTGTCTTTTAAGTCAGAAGGGCCCATGATAATGACTAATCAATTTGGATTTTCTTATCCTCTCTGGGAGAAATTAAATTCAAGCCTTTCTTTATTGATGTTTTACAAGCTTGGAAGATGGCCATGTTAATCCACCATTTGGTGTTTTGGGACACAAACAAGCACACTTTTATGAAACTGCTCTTTGCTTAAACTCATTGTCCTAGTCAAAGTAACAACCCAGCTCATGGAAAAATGCTGCCAGTGTCACCATGAGGGGACAGGATGCATCTACAGCCACACTCAAGCTCTTGCGTCACCCCTGCTGTAGCAACAGAGCCCACTCTGAATACCCAAAACACACGGTTTTCTCCAAACAGTCATAATTGCCAGCCCAGTATGGGAGTTCAGGAGCCTTTGGCAAAGAAACTAAGGAGTCTTATGAAATTTGGTGCAAGGCTTGCACAATAACAGCCACTGTCTGTAAAGGCCTTCCCTTTCCTCCTGTACGCAGACATGCACACCCATGCACAGCAGAGCCTGAGGCAAGTCCTTTCTCTGGAGAGATATACAGGGCTATTTGATTGAATTCATTTTCCAGTTTTGCTCTTGGGTTGTATCACACCACAGGTAGAGACGCTCTATCTGACAAGGATAAAATTGTGCTGGCCATCACTGCCCTCTCCAATGCCTGGGGAGTTTGTAGGATTGATAAGACTGTGTGGTCTGCCTGCAAGGTACCAGCCACGGCCTTTGAACAACCTGTTGTGCTTTTTGTCTGCGCTGCAGTGGGCCACTGCTTGCATCCTTGCCCTTTGTCCAAACTTTTGCTAAATATGGAATAGATTTGGTATGCATTGTGTTGTGAGTACCTTTACCACTAGAGAAGACTTCAGCTCCTTTAGATTTGGGGGAACCAGATATAAAACTAGGACTAAAAGGATTGGGTTAGCTTTTTTTATCATTAAATTTTTAGTGCAGAAGACCTGATGCAAGAGCAGCAAGAAAAAGATTATTTCTTAACCGACCCATATATGAACCTATAGAAAAGTGAGAGAAGCTCCCATGTTCTTATTTCACTCATTCTATATAATATTCTGAATAATTACTGATCAGCTTTTTGCTATGTCCAGCCTTGCTCCACCTTCCTACCTCCAGACCAAGTGCCCATTTTGATATTTTTTAAAAGTCCTTCTGATTGTTGTAGAGGGTCCCTCTGTGCCGAGACTAAAACCTGCTACTGGGACAGACCCCACACTGCTTTGCCGAATCAGCTCTGGACCTAGAGCACGGGTAGCAATAAGTCTCTACTTCTGCTGGAGACACCCTAGTTCCTGGGTGAGTGTTGGAACGTAACAGCTTACCCTTGCCACCCTTGCCATCGTCCCCCATGGAAACGGGGATGACGCAATCAGAACCTCGCTCTTCCTGGGGCTCCGTTTCTTCTCATGGCAGCCATTTGGCCTGGCTCACGAACAGCGTGTTGCCTTTGGAGGAGAGAGATGCACACACCTGGCAAGGAAGTCAATCCAGTGTGTCTCTGAGGTTCCTCCCTGTGGAGTGAATTCCCTGAGATGTAAGGTCAGAAAGCTGGCACTCTGGTTGCTTAGTATTCCAGGAGAGTATATTCCCTGCCAGGAACTCATCCTTTGGAATCCAGATCTTTCCACACATTCCCTAAATTCGCTCCCATCCCCTGCCCCCTGTGGAACCTCAGCATTGTATCTCCATGTTGCACAACACAGATCAGATTATCTGGTCACTATAGAGATTGTATATAAAAAACTACTTTTGTGAGGATTTTTGTATATTGTTTTCTATTTGTTTTCTACAGCTTGAGGAGAGAGCTGGCAAACTGTGAATCTAATTTGATCTTGCTGCCAGCAGATATATTTTGGCTTCCTGATAAGAATCTATGCTACTAGGGCCAATATATTGCCCTCTGATCAGTATTGCCCCCCAAACTCACAAATTCCTCCAGCCCAGACTTATATTCTTTTTTAAACAAACCCCCAGGCCTCTTTGCTATTATTTATAAAGAGCATGAGAAAATGTATTTATAGTCCTGGATTTATATGTTTAATATTGAGTTAGCCTTTAATAATGTTACAGGTTTGTATCTATTCTTCATAATCATAAAGAACTCAGTGTAGACTGAATTCCTCTATTTAGTATCTGTAATTTTGCAGACAGATATTTTCTTATGGTATTTTCTATATAACCACATAAGTAGTATAATAACCAATTAGAGCACAAGAAGTTTCTGCAGCAATTTAGAGCTATCAGTTGTTTCCTGAGCATATAGCCACATTTCAAAAATGTAAGAATCCTATCCTTTGCAATGCAATGAGCAAAATGACCATAAAGAACAAGGAATCACTTAAATCCCTTAGCTGGTTAGGATATACCTCTTAATAATTAGTCTTTGTAACTCAAGGGATGGTGCTGACTTATTTTTGACCCCAGGCCTTGTTTTTCCAGTTAAGCATTCAAATTGTGCTTTTCTCCAAGATGCTGAAAAAGAAGGTGACAATAGTTGGATCATCTCTATACCAGAACCTCCCATGCCTTCCTAATAATTTATGTAAAAATTGGCTTCGGGAATTTTGAGTAGCAGAGACTGAGGCTAGTGCTAGGAAGCAAATCAGGACAGATATGTCACAGTTCATTCTTGCCAAGCAAATTGGTAATAAATGTCACATTGTTATGTGACTTGGACACATATTTTTAGGGGAAAAAAAATGAAGCAATACTGGGGCTATAGGTGGGAGCTTAAAGTCATACTGAAATTGTTTAGAAGCAGCCCAAGTAGAGTCTATCCTCAGGTGAATAGCAATCTATGTGATTTCCCAAGACAAATCAATAGCCACTTCAAAGACCCGGGGGTCTTCCTTCCACCTTCCTACCTCCAGACCAAGTATCCATTTAGAGATTTTTAAAAGTCCTTCTGATCGTTATATAGGGCCCCTGTGTGCTGAGAATAAAGCCCCACTGCTTTGCAGAGTCAGCACTGGACCTAGAGCACATGTAGCAACAAGTCTACTTCCACGTGAAACAGCCCAGTTCCTTCCACCAAACACACTTTCTGGTATGGTTATAGGGCTAGTATTTTTGCCATGTTTTAAGACATAGTCAGTTACATAGAAAGTATACTGGGATATATTTGAGCTTGCTCCTTATTAAGCAAACAGATTAGAAGTTCCCTCTACTGGCAATGATTGTACCTGTGATTTCCAAGTACAGATAGCTGTCAAAGCATGAAGTTCTTGTGTGTACACAGTAACACTTGGTTCACGCATGAAGAACAGTGCCTATGCACTTGTGTAGCTATAATGTAGGTATCTATGTGTAATTTCAGTGAAATGGTGCATAGATATAATTTAATTTAAATGTTATTTTTGGCTGTTCATCTAAATGTAGTAGACTTGTTGATTGGTGTTTTGAAAACCCTTGTTTTCCTTTTTAGGTACCTAGTAGTGAATCAGTTCTCCTTTTTCTTAATGTGATTTGGGGATGTGTATCAGTGAAGAACTTACTTATGCACCCTTTGTACTGATGACTGAAGTTTGCGTGCATCCAGCATCTTTGTAGATATGCAGTTCAGAGCAAGGGAGAGTTAGTTGTGGGCCATGATCCTCAGTGAAAAGTCATCTGCCACCTGTATAGTGCATGGCGAATGCAACTGTGGAACTTCTGATTGTCAAAGCGAGCTAGGTTTAGAATGAGGACATTTATCTATAGCCCTCCTCTGCTTGGTGGATTGGGCTCAGACTAAAGTTAGTCTGCTTCTGTGCATGTTAACATCATGTCCTTAGGTAAAGGTCTGTCTCTCTGGTTGTCAAATACTGATCATGATGCTCATGACTTAAAGGTTCAGAAGAGCCTTGTCTCCCTTGGTTTCTTGAGTCAGGATACAGGAAAGATATTTCCTGGCTAGCTGCCACACAGACCAAACCCCACAAAAGCACAGTTCTGTCAGTAAACTGCACAGGTGTCTGTAGAAAGCTAGGACACTAGAAGCACAGGAATGATCAGTGTAGAGCTTTGGGGTTGCAGAAAGGCAACTGATAAAGCACAGATCCCACATATGTGAAGGGAATATGAACTCTACCTAATAGGCTCTGTGTGCATGTTTTGAGTGACTGAAGATGAGATTAACTAATGCAATTATATGCTTGCTGCCTAAAACACACATTCTATTTAATCACTAAATGGGATGCTGTGGGGTCTATAGTTTCTGTAACCCCTTCCTCCTCTGCAAGGACAGAGAAGAATGGCCATGTTCATTTGGGAACACTGAGTGTTCCTCTCTTTCCACAAGAGGGGTGAAGTCTAAGAGATCCCCTAAGGGCACAAAGCACATTAATTTTCAGTGGCTTCTCCGATGATTGGAGTGAGAGGTCTATATATGGTGGACAGCCACACTTTTCCTTGAAAATGTGGTTTCTTCAACTTCTGTCAAATTCAGGTTTAGAAACCTTATTGAAGGAAAGCAATCTTTTGGACAGGATTCTCTCTGAAGATTCTTGTGTGTACAGAATGAAAGAGAAGAATAATTATTTTCCTCATGTTCACAATCCCCATTGGTCTAAAGTCATGTAGTATAGGTCATCTATAGCACATAGTGTTTAAAGACTAATGAATGAACAAAGGTAAAAACTTCAACTAAATTTTTGAGTTGTTTCTTATGTATGGTACTAGGAAATGCCTTGTTGGCAAAGCACATTTTGGGTAATTGAGGTCTTTTGTTATCACTTTTAGCTTCCTAAGCTTTCTTACAATGTGGACTGATTACTATAACATTTCATGTGTAAAATAACTGGATATTCTTTATATACTGGAAATAATCTGTGAATCCAAGATTTCACTAAGTGTTTTAACTTTTGTGTATATATCTCTCATCAATAAATGTGGATTTCAGTTTCTCTTGGTTGCTGTCTGTCTTGTCTTAAATTCCCATTTTAAACTAGTGTTGGTTACCTAGTAAGGACCTCCAGTATTCCTTTTGGAGAAAATTGAGGATTGAAAACTGCAGTACCCAAATGAATATTTTCTAGGAAACCCAGATATACGCTGGAGTCACACCTTCGGATCTAAAATTAGTGAGTTAGACAAATATGGTGTGGATCAGCCATTATCGATGGACTGACCCTCAAATCTCAGCAATTTAAAACAACCAAAGTTGATTTTGACTTATTGTGGCATGTCCATCAAAGGTTGATAGAGGGACTCAGCTCCATGACATCCTTACTGAGAGCGTGTGAGAGAGACTTCATCTACATGCCTCTGCAGTTGCCAAGTATAGGAAAAAGAGAACATCTTACACTGACTCTCAAATGTTACATATCTCATTTCTGCTCATAATTCAATGACCAGAGCAAGTCACATGGTTCTACATAACTTCGAGGGGGCAGGGAAGTTTACCCTTACTAGGTACCCAGGAAGTAAACTTGGAAGTAGTTAGTGAAGAGCTCTAGTGACTATCAGTTTATAAAAATTCCTTCAATTGTTCATAAAGGATGGTATACAAACATATAGTCTTTCAGTAAGCCCAACACACCAAATCTTTCTCTAGAATTGGAAAAAATCATTGCTATGAAAGTGGCAAGCATTTAACAGTCATGTTGTAGAGATAAAATGCACGGTCTTCAAAAGTAGATCATACTACATGTAGTCTTTTGGAACACATCTCTTTTCTGGTTAAAACTGTGTTTCTCAGTTCACCCATGTTGTTACAAGTAGCTTTTGTTACAAGTAGCTGTGCTTGATTCATTTTCCCTGTTGTATGATATAGTATGTAAAATATGCCACACTTTGCTTATCCATTTTCCTGCAGACGGACAATTGCCTCATTTCCAGTTGTTTTTCTATATCAAACAATGCTGCTATGAACATTCTTGTACATGTCTCCTGGGTACATAACCCAGGGAGGCTTTGACACATGTGATATACTATAAAAAAAGTTGTGCATGTGCACGTGTATGGGACGGGCAAGTTCCTAGTCAAGTCTCCCACCTATTTGTCCATGGCCCCCTCAGCAGGCCCGTGTGTGGATCACTGCTGCAAACCTTGGCAGTCCACATACTGTGTAATGGAATCCATCTCTTTAACAGGAATATGGAGGCAGGCAAAACCTGAGCATTTTTAGGGAGGGAATGTAAGTTTAAAGCCGAAACTGTCTTTCCTCAGGCTCACAGGGTAAGACCTTTGAGCACAGCTCTGATGGTAGCCAAGGGGCCCGGTAAGTCTTTAATCTCTTCTTTGAACAGTAATGTGCTAGGCCTGGCCAGCTCCACCGGCCCACAGCAGGGCCTTTGCTGTGATGGCAAAGGTGGTCTGACGGAAAGTTACAGGAAGTAAAGCAATTTCTCCATGTAGGCCGAGA